TGAGTTAGACCCTGCCTTCTTTGGCCTTAATGCTGTTACTGGACAGCAATAACTTGGTAGATGTTGTGTGAAGGCTTGGGACCAATCCCGTCAGAGAGCAGAAACAATATGATGTCATGCAGGTGACCAATCACACAGTGCACACCTGAAAATTAAGAAGAGTAAATAAACAAAGCTTATAGCTACAGCAAATAGTTTGTGAGCAATCCATAAACTGAAATATCTTGAGATAAACCATTCATATATTTTCAAATAATTATAGAATCATATGCTGGAAGGGACCTTGAGAAGTCATTAAGTCCAGTCCCCTGCACTGACACAGGACCAAGTAAATCTTTCTAGACATCCCTGACAGGTGTTTGTCGAACCTGTTCTTAAAAGTATTCAGGGATGGGGATTCCATAACCTCCCTTGGAAGCCTCTTTCTGGACCTCAGATAATACCTCCTTCCTTTTTATACTGTCTGTCCTTCCTGAACAAGTTATACCCCTCTATACCAATGTTCCAGTCATGAGACGTATCCAACCAAATCTCTCTGATGCCAATTAAGTCATAATTTATCTTATGTACTAATACTTCTAATTCTTCCTGTTTATTCCCCATACTCCTTGCATTTTTGTAGAGACAAAATGTTGAACAGATCCCCCACTGATTTCCCTCGTGTTGATCCTATGATCCTATGTAATTTTCCAAAGCTCCAACCCACCCATGCCCAACATCTAATCCTCTGTTAAGGTTGCCTTTTTTATGCTCATCTGTAGGCTTTATCACCTGGCCCCTCTGGACTAATTTAAAGTTCTCCTCACTAGCTGGGTGAGTCAGTGCTCGAAGATGCTTTTCCCTTTCTTGATCAGGTGGACCCCATCACCTCACAGCAGACCTTCTTCCTGAAACACCATCCCATGGACAAGGAAGCTGAAATTCTGCTGTCAACACCATATGGACAGCCATGCATTCATCTCCAGGATGCATATTTTCCTGTCTGGGCCTTTATCCTCAACTGGGAGGATTGATGAGTACACAACCCACACCCCCAACTTCTTCCCCTCGCTCAAGGAGCTGTATAGTCCCTGATTATCTACTGAGGGTCATACCTAGCATTAATATTTGTGCCCATAAGGATGAGTAATATAGGGTAGTGGTCAAAGAGATGGATGAGCCTTGGAATCTTTTCTGTAACATCTGACATGGGCTCCAGGCAGGCAGTACACCTCCTGAAACATCATCTCAGGTAGGCAGATAGTGTTGGGATTACCTACGAGACCTTTTTTCACTTGGCTTCCTAAGAGCTCAGGTTGACTCAGCTACAGATGGATGCCTCCATCTCCCTCAGAAGTGAGTCGCTATGCCTCCTCTCTTGAGTGCAGTGGCAATGAACCTCCCAGCTTTGGGGGCAGGTGGCTTCTCTTTCTCAGCCATTTGGGTATGCTCTGTAGTAGGAAGAGGGCCTGAGACAAAAGCCCTTATATCAGAGGCCTGGTATGAGGCAGGACCTGCTCACAGAATCTGGCAAAAACAGGGCTGATATTGCAGAAATACACATTCCTAATAAGTGCTAAGCACAGGGTACTCACGCAAACACATCCTAGTATCAAGTGCTACCAGCACATCTGATATCAAGCATGGTAAAAAAAACATTCCCCAAGGATAACAGGAACATACTGACCCCTCCTAAAAGATAAGGTCAGGATGACAGTATGTAATAGAGATGTTTTGATAGAACCAACATGTACAAGGTGATGGGTAATAGCCATGTCAGGGGCCAGTGACTAACTACCGGGTATGTCAGAGGGGCAGTACTAATTTGTTTGTATCGGGATATAAAGATGTATCTCAGAGGGAGTGTCTTTGTCCAACCAAGGGGGGGACAAAAAGTCCCGCCATTCACTGAGCTGTGTCCATTTCCACAGGCATACATGTCTTAGTGTCCTTGTAGAATCTGCCAGGTACTATTACCATGCTTTGTTGACAATAAACCTGGCCTTGTGCCTTCAAACCTTAATGGATCTTGTGGTCATTGGGCGGTGCACTCGAGGTCTGCTGTGCTGGCTGTCTGCGCAGAGGTGGGGCAGCACACAAGGAGAACACACGTATGCAGCTGAACATCTAACCACATGCTCCTTATAGCCTATTGCCAGCACAACATACTGATTCTTCACCTCGAGCAACAGGGGAACTGTCCATAAAGCAGCCAGTTCTCCTTTCTTGATTAGATGCAGAGCTTCAGCAACTTGTCAATTTTATGGTAACAGGGGGGTAGACAGATGCTGCTTCTTGTTGGGTTATGGTCGCCTGAGGTGTATGAGCCAGTGGTACAGGAAGATGAAGCAGGAAACAATCATGGAGGCATAAACCAGGACCAAAATATTTGATTTCCAAAAGTTTCTGTAACTATCTCTCAGGTGATTTCAGGGGACAAGAATCCCAGTCATTGTTTCACATGGATTAATTTAACATCTATTGTCAATGAGGCTTCTGTAAGTTTATATTTAATTCTGAATAGGGCTCTTGACTCTGTATATTTCACTGAAATATATCTGGATGATACTCCAGCCCCTGTATTAGCAACAGTTGATGCCTACAAACTATTCAGTCAGCGGCGGTGATCCATTGAAGTTCAAGGATGATTGTCTTCAATAAAATGATAGCTAGTTATCACTGGTGGATCTGCAGGTGGCTAATGAGACTGTTCCAGGTTCCATAGATTTTGTCACAGTTGGGGCAGACATTTCCCAATGGAAGGGGTGGATCTGGATTTTTAAATTGGTCTGCAGCATTTTTTCTCCTTTCCTGTTTCTCCATTTCCTGTTGTCTCTGTTGGGTCTTGAAATACTGGGGTCCTTGCCACAAGGTCCTTCTCCATTTTGGTCAGTTGAGGGCTTGGGTTTCCCATGAGATTATGTCAATATTGCACTTCCTCAGGTTGGCTTTAAAGGTGTCTTTGAAATGCTTTTTTGACTGTCCCTCATCCATTGGCTTAGTTGTAAGATTACATACAACAGCTCTGTAAAACATGAAGCAAAGAAGGATCATCAGGGAGTTAGTGTGGACATTCTGCTTGCATCTAATCTACACTGCAAACAGTCTTTGCATTGCAAAACCAGATCAAGTACAGTTTGTGTATCTTGTATAGGAGAGAAAGTGAGAATGGGAATATCCTAATGCAGCACACAATCCCACCATGTGCTGATTTATAGATTTTAAGACAGAAGGGACTATTATGATAATTTAGTCTGACCTTCTGCACAAAACTGGCCATATAATTTCATACCCCCCAGTAATTCCTGATAGAGCTCTCCATTGTGGTAACACTGAAATCACTGACGCTAACTATGCTTGATGCCCTAAAAATTCAAGTAGGTGGCAAGTTTTCTGCATTATCTCATGACTGCTCACCACCATGATGACCATAGGATCTATCCCAGTTGTTTATTGTCTCAACTCTTATGGCTAGTGTGATAAATGAAGGAGGGGGGTAGCTCCCTTTTATGGACCCCCAGACAGCCAGTTAGCTATAAAATCCCTCTTGGTGGCTGTTCTCTGCTTACTTTACCTGTAAAGGGTTAAAGTCCCCCAGGTAAAGGAAAGGGTGTGGGAACCTGACCAAAAGAGCCAATGAGAAGGCTAGAACTTTTTTAAATGAAAAAAAAAAACCGAACTTCCCCTTTCTCTCTGTTTTTTTCTCCGGGAAAGAGGGGAACAGGGAGCAGTTATGCTATGAGAAGCTTTAAGACAGATATGATCATAAATCATCAGATCATACCTAGAATTACTTATTTGGAACCCCCAAATGTGTAACTAGATGAGGAATATTTAGAAAGATGCAATTAGGTTTATTTCTGTTTATTTCTTATGGCTAATGGAGTCCTCTGTGCTAACCCCAGATGCTTTTTTTTTTGCTTGTAACCTTTAAATTAAACCCGCAAGAAAGCTATTTGGGGTGCTTAATTTTTGGAATTGCTCTTTTAAAATCTAGCAAAAGCCTAAGTTGCAGATCTATTTTATTTCTTTTTTGTTTTTAATAAACTTCACCTCTTTTTTAAGAGCAGGGTTGGATTTTTGGTGTCCTAAGAGATTTGTCCATGTTGTTTAATTAGCTAGTGCCAACAGCTAATTTCCTTTGTTTTCTTTCTCAGATCTTCGCTGGAGAGGAGGACGGGGGGGGGGGGGTGGAGGGGCGTGGATGAAAGGGCTTGAGGATACCCCACAGGAAGGAATTCCCAAGTGCATCTTTCTGGGTTCCAAAATGGGTTTTGTATTTGAGTGGTGGCAGCGTTTACCAACTCAAGGTCAGAGAAAAGATGTAACCTTGGGAGTTTAATACAAGCCTAGAGTGGCAAGTATTAATTTTTTTAATCCTTGTGGGTCCCCACTTTCTGCAATCAAAGTGTCAGAGTGGGGAATCAGCCTTGACAGCTAGTAGCACTCTTGATCTAATGTTTAGATGATAACTAAATGGTAACCATCTCCATTCCTATGTAACTGAAGCATTATCTTCTTCAGTGTGAGAATGGGGCAAGATGCCTGTTTTAACAATCTTCTCTTAGACACTGATGGAACAAGAACATTTCCACAGGATTATAAAGGAGAAAAAAATTGGTCAAACCACTGCATCAATAGTTTGGCGGGAATTTATAACAACCTTTAGTTATCCAATATATGTATGGCTCCCATGCAGCTTCTTTCCTGGTTTGGTCTACATGTGCCAGCTAGGATTACAGATTAATAAAAGGGAAGTTGACTAAAGGATAGAGATGGGAATCTCTGGCTGAGGCTACTCAGTTGTGCCATAATTAAAAAAAAACAGTAGGGAAGGCAAATACAAGTTTGTCTCCCTCCACCAAAATATCCACGATTTTTTTCATCAGCAGGTGGAAGATAGCTTGGTTAATCCTGGCTTCATCTGCCTGACACTGATTCAAATTCCTTTTATTGTAACAAAATAGCTAGCTATTTTGGAAAAAAAATCACTTTGATTTGGACAAAACTCTCTGCGTACATGTTTCAATCCAAAAATTGAAAGTAATGGGTGATGATCAATCAGGAAAGTAAAATTTCTAATGTAGAGAGAAGTTTGGAACTTTCGGATTCCAAAGATAATGTGATGAGCCTCTCAGTCATTTGCATAGTTCTTTTTAGGAATAGAAAGTGTTCGTGATGGTTTCTCCATACCATTAAGAAAACATAGGAAAGAACTGTACCTACTCCATATGGTGAAGCATCACAAGCCAATTGCAGTGGTAGCAAAGCATCAAAATGCATAAGAACTTCAGCTAATGTCAACAGTTTTTGCTTCCTTAAATGCACCCTCACATTCTTTAGTCCATTTCCATTTTTTTCTTTGCTTGAAACAGTTCATGTAAAAAGGTGCCAGTACTGTCACCAGATTAGGCAGAAATTTACCATCGTAATTAAGCAGTGCTAAGAATTCATGTAATGGTGATATTTCTGGTGGTAGTGTTTGAAGAACCACCTTCTCTTTCTCTGGTGATTTCTTTAAACTTGTGGCATCAACTACATGTCCAAGATATTTAACTGATAGTTTGAAAAATTAACATTTGTCTCAAGGTACTCTCAGACCGTGGTCTTCCAAAAGTTGCAAGGCAGCAAATTTCTAAGATAATCCTTTTGATCCTTTCCTGTAACAAGTGTGTCATCCAAATAGAACTGAATTCCATGCAGTCCCTTCAGAATCTCATTGTGTCTTTCTGGAACAGAGCAGGTGCCAACGTGATACCAAAAATGCAAGCTGTTGCAATAAAATAAGCCTTTTTGAGTGTTGATTGTGAGATATTTGCAACGTGCTCCATTTGTAGATATGCACTGAGCAAATCCAATTTACTAAAACACTGTCTACCACTAGGAGTAGCAAGCAAATCTTCAGTACATGGTAGTGAATACTGGTCTGCACATAAAACTGAATTCAGTGTTACTCTGAAATCTCCACAGATTCAGAGTCAGCCATCCTTCTATGATGGGTGTAGCTCACTCGCTGCATGAAACTGGTGACAAGACTCCAATGTTCACTAAACAGTCCAAATCAGCTTCCAGTAGAGGCTTCAGAGTGTAAGGCACAACTCTGGGCTTGCAATATTTTGGCTGACTGTCAGACTGTCATGATCACCTTCATCTCAGTCTAATTCACCTTGAGCTTTTCAAGCCAAGATCTGCCAGATAATAGAGAATTTTTTTCTTCAATCACATACAAGAGCAAAATCACTTATTGTCCATCTAGCTGCACTTTCACCTGGAATAGTCCTTTTGGGACTAATTTTTCTCTGGTATAAATCTTCAATGTCATGGATAATTTTTCCAGGGGAACTTGTGGCAACGTCCGGTAGATGCAGAAATCATTGAAACAGCTGGTCTTGTATCAAGATCCATTCTTGTAGGAACTCTTTTGATCAACAGTGTAATCCAAATTCCATCTCTGACTCCAGCTTCTGCTAACATGTATAGTGCTAGGTCTTGGTCAGTGTCACTAGAGCGCGGGTCTTTTTTCTACATCATAAATTCCTAACTTGAATCCCTTCTTAATTTCAGTCTTCATACATGTATTCTTGGATGTATAGTTATTCTGTGCTGCTGATAACTGAACTGTGCAGTCATGACAATGTGTGCTTTCTTCTGGCACTTTCATTAAATAACCTGATGTGCTCAGCAATCCTTCTCAGAGTGTGCAGTTTGTGCAAAATGGCCACAAAGAAATTCCTTACATTCCTGTGGTTCTCTGTCTTGCTGATGCAGGAGGTGAACTTGTCGCTTCACATTAAATTCCAGAGTCTTTCTCTGCTGTCTCCATTGCAACTGCTACTTCAGTAGCCTTCTTGAATGTAAGCACTAATACTGTCAGTAACTTCTTCCAGACCTCATCATTATATAATCCAGAGACTAACTGGTTATGCATGGCATCAATTAATGTTTGTCCAAACTGACAATGTTCTGACAACTTCTTTAAGGCAGCAAAAAACTGTGCTACTGATCCTCCAGTTTCCTGATATAACTGATGGAACAAATATCATCTGTAGGGTAGGAGAAAAACATGCCTGCATTTCTGCAGTAATTGTGGCATATGTAGCAGTTCCAGGCACAGTTGGAGAAAGTAGGTCACTCAGCAGTCTGCATGCCTTTGGATCTGTCACTGTGAGAAAGGTTGAAACTCAGTGTCCACCTGGAATGGTGTTGCAGGGTACAAATTACTCAGAACATTTGAGGTACACCATCCATGATCCACAGTTTTCATCAAACTCACCAACATTGTTCACAAAACGAGTCATTTCTTTGTTCTGTTGGACTTCATGTCTCCTGGACACCTTTTCCAAAGGGAAATTATTATTATTTATTAGTAGTAGTAGTACACAGTAAAAACAACAATATCTGCTTCTGATTGCCAGCTGTTGGCTGTGTGCTTACATACTCCTTGGGTTGTACTTGGTCTCTCTCTTCTGGCTACGGACCCTCAGTGCACATTAAGCTGTTTGCCTGCCTGCTTGCACGAGGTAATTCAAGATGACCGCTTACTTCCTCTTCACTGCTCTGTTTGAACAGTTGGAATAGTAATTGCAGAACATTTATTCTTATTTCTAACATTACTTGCTTACTTCCCTTTTTTTATCTGGCTAGTTCCTACTGTTCCAGGAGCAAAAGCAGCAGTCTGTCACCTTGTGCCTCTAGGTCAGGGATCAGCAACCTTTCGCATGCGGTTCGCCAGGGTCGGTTTGTTTACCTGCCGCCTCCGCAGGTTCGACCGATTGTGGCTCCCACTGGCTGCGGTTCGCCGTCCCAGGCCAATGAGGGCTGCAGGAAGTGGTGGCCAGCACATCCCTCAGCCTGTGCTGCTTCCTGCAGCCCACATTGGGCTGGGATGGTGAACCGTGGCCAGTGGGAGCCGCGATCGGGTGAACCTGTGGACGCGGCAGGTAAACAAACCGGCCTGGCCCGCCAATGTGCTTACCCTGGTGAGCCGCGTGCCAAAGGTTGCCGATCCCTGCTCTAGGTGAACTTAAACCCCTTTTAATGGCATTATTTGCTTACTTTTTCTTCTTCTTGGTCAGGCAGAAGCAGAACTGGACACGCCAGGGATATAAATTCCTCATAGCTATATGTTATGTTTCTGGAACCAGCAGAGAAGAAGATAAACAGATGCAGAGGGAGCTGATAGAAACACTGATGTCTGCTGTTGTGGCTTTACTGTTTCAGCTGCATAACTGAAAGGAACAGGAAAATGAGGCTTTGCACTGTGGGGATGGGGGTGAAGAACTGAGCCCCTTGAACATTTAAAGGGACAGGATATCACATATTGCAGTGGTACATAGAATTATCAGAAGAGACTCGGTGGCAAAGCCCGTAAGCAGGAATCGTCTATATTGGCAAATTAAAGTGTTGCAGAATAGGATAATTTATTAATCTCAGATCTGCTCTCAACTCATTTAGTCTATGAAAAGAAATAATCTAAATATGGGATTTTAAAAGCACTTAACTTAGGAGATAAAGCCCCACTCAAAGTCAATGAGACTTGAGCCTAAGTAATTTAGGTGCTTTTGAAAATCCCACCATACTCCTTCAGTAACTTCTTAGCAATGTAACAAATACTAAAGCAGTAATAAGCGACAAAGAGTCCTGTGGCACCTTATGGACTAACAGAAGTATTGGAGCATAAGCTTTCGTGGGTGAATACCCACTTCATCAGATGAGCACAAAGTGGGTATTCACCCATGAAAGCTTATGCTCCAATACTTCTATTAGTCTATACGGTGCCACAGGACTCTTTGTCGCTTTTTACAGATCCAGACTAACACGGCTACCCCTCCGATACTAAAGCAGTAATGTTTAGCATTTAAGACTGAATTTATCAAGTGGATTGAGTGATAATCTCTGAATATTCTAGGTCTGGAGGTACCTAGAAACATTTATGATAGTTTCTATGATTTGAACTATATAAGAGTGGAGTAAAACTATTTATTTTTAGCTTATTTAGCAAAATGGTTTCTCTGTCAGCCATGAAATATGATTAGGAGGTTTCTTGATAAATGAAAAGACCCAGTTACTTAAAGCATAAATATGCTTATAGTGAAGGAAATTGTAAATGCATGAGCACCCATGGTTACTATCTCATTTGGTACTATTTATGGGAATATTGTGTTGTCCGGGCTCAATGATAAGTGAATGCTGAAAAGCTGCCACTCTGTCCAGTCTGACTATATTAATCTTGGATTAAGGACTATATTAATACTTTTATACTCATCTCAGCAAAAATGAGAAGCATGTCCTCTGCAGTATGAATACTTGAACAGATAGGTAGGAATTTGAAAGCATATTGACATAAATGTGAAAGAGAAAGTGAAAAATGGATCCCCACAGAGCAGGGTATGATCAGAAAAGAGCAGCTGAATAAGTTTTTCAGTTTGATCATGGAAACAACAACAGAGCTATAAAATACTTTAAAAAAACCCACAGTTGATATGGGTTAAGAAATTAGTACATTATGTCATAGAATCATAGAAGATAAGGGTTGGAAGCGACCTCAGGAGGTCATCTAGTCCAACTGCCTGCTAAAAGCAGGACCAACCCCAACTAAGTCATCCCAGCCAGGGCTTTGTCAAGCCAGGACTTAAAAATCTCTGAGGATGGAGATTCCACTCCTTCCCTAAGTAACTCATTGCAGTGCTTCACTACCCTCCTAGTGAAATAGTTTTGTCCTAATATCCAACCTAGACTTCCCCCACTGCAACTTGAGACCATTACTCCTTGTTCTGTCATCTGCCACCACTGACAACAGCCTAGGTCTATCGTCTTTGGAACCCTGGTTCAAGTAGTTGAAGGCTGCTAGCAAATCCCTCCTCACTCTTCTCTTCTGCAGACTAAATAAGCCCAGGTATCTCAGCCTCTCCTCATAAGTCATGTACCCCAGCCCCCTAATCATTTTTGTTGCCCTTGTGGCTCACTCATATCACAAGTTTGTTTTTCCTGTCAGTGTGAGAAATTATTTATTCTGTCCAGTTAAAAACAGAGAAGCTTTAATAAAAAAAGTAAGTCTAATGATTGTGCAATGCCCAGAAAAAAGGGAACTACTTATGAAAATCAAGCTGGAATGATGGGAAACGATCCCATAGTTGGGACCCTCTTTCCAGATAGTGCCATGATATCCTCTCACACTGAGGATACCTTTCCAGGGGAGGAACCCCTTGTTATTAGGAAGAGTCAAGTACAAGTAATGGGGGATTGATTATTAGAAATATAGATCATTGGATTTGTGTTGAATGGGAGAACCACATCGTGAATTTCCTGCCATGTGCGAAGTTTGTACACCTGTCGAGACATCTACACAGAGTTGTGTGCAGTGCTGGGGAGGAGCTAGTGGTCATGGTACACATAGTTACCAATTACATAGGGAAAGGTAGGAGAGAGATCCTGGAGGCCAAAGCCAATTAGGCTTCCAGATAAGAGATTAAAGTCTAGGACCTCCAAGGTAGCATTCTCTGAAATGCTTCCAGTTCCACGTGCAGAGTCAATTAGATAGGGAGAATTGCAGGGTCTCAATGACTGGATGAAGTGGTGTTTGGGGGAGGCATTTAGATTTATTATGAATTGGGAAGCTTTTCGGAAAGGAGAAGCCTATACAAGAGGGGTCGGCAACCTCTGGCACACGGCTCGTCAGGGTAAGCACCCAGTTTGTTTACCTGCTGCATCCACAGGTTCAGCCAATCACGGCTTCCACTGGCTGCGGTTCGCCACTCCAGGCCAATGGGGGCGGTGTGAAGCCGCAGCCAGCACATCCCTCGGCCTGCGCCACTTCCCTTGCTGCAGTTTAAACCCATTATTTCTTCTCCTTATCTTCTGAGGACAACAATTTATCATTCTCCTCTTTATAACAACCTTTTATATACCTTAAAACTGTTCTTATGTCCCCCCTCAGTCTTCTCTTCTCCAAACGAAACAAATTATTTTCTTTTTTTTCCAATCTTTCCTTACAGGTCATGTTTTCTAGACCTTTAATTGTTGTTGCTGTTCTAGACTTTCTCCAGTTTTTCCACATCTTTCCAGAAGTGTGGTGCCCAGAACTGGACACAATACAGATGAGGCCTTATCAATACTGAGTAGAGTGGTAAAATTACTTCTGACATTTTACTTACAACACTCCTGCTAAGAGATCCCAGAATGATGTTCACTTTTTTACAACAGAATGACATTGGTGACTCATTTAGTTTGTGATTCACTGTAACCCCTAGATCAGGGTTCGGCAACCTTTGGCACGCGGCCCGCCAGGGTAAGTACTGCACTCTGAGCACAGTTTCCCAACCAGTTTCCCAGTTTATAGTAGGTTTTTCTAGGCTAAATTTCCCTTTTGTGCTTATGAGAAGGTCATGTGAGACAGTATCAGAAGTATTACTAAAGTCTAGATATATGACATCTAGTGGTTCCAATCAATTAACAAGTCTTGTTATCCTGTCAAATTCATGTTGACTGTTAGAACATAATAAGGTGATAAGTAAGTTCTTACAAATTGATTGTTTGATTATTTCCCTCATACCACAAAACCAGCCTTATGAAATACCAACTTTTATGTCTAGCCACCATCAAACTGAACACAAACAGTTCTATTGTGAAATGTTTGAACTAAGCAATTATATCAATTGTAACTAAAGGAGAAGTTAAAGAAAGCAAACATTTTTTGACAGTACTTCAAAGGTACACAAAAGTGTTAATCACAATCCTGGATTAAAATAAAAGATCTGCACTAGCTGAAAGACAATCTGTATGATATCTGTATGAAAAAAAGATATGTGGGCTTCACACAAAACAAACAAGATTTAGAAGGAAATCCATACAAATCCAAAATATAGGAGCTGATAAATGTTGACATTAATATTCATATCAAATTGTATTTTCAAAAATAATAACCCGAGCAAAGGCAAAAACAATGTTCTGTATTAAACAATCTTTGTCACCATAGATACATGCACTAATTTTTATTTGACAATTGGAAGATAGCCTTGCCAAATAATCTTGATAGGCACCATGGGAAATCCATATGCAAAAATTTGCATATCTTGGTGCCCAGTTACCATCTAAAACTCTGTTGCTATTCGTCTACCAAAATTGTAATAGGTAATGTGATCTGCTTCGACTAGTGGGCTTTGAAATAAACATCTGTGTTTTCCATCACTAAGTGTGACCCTGGGCAATACATTCAAACCTAAATTTTCAAGTGCCTACCAATGGACTTTAATAGGACTGGCAGCCTCCGTTCTTCTGAAAATCAGGCTATAGGTATCTCAGATTGAACACCCAAGAACTGAGACATCCTAAAATTAGTGGACACTGCTGAAAATTTGAGCCTTAAACTCCCTATGCCTCAGTTTCAGCAGTATAAAAAGAGCATGATTTTTATGACATGCATATGATTATTTATAACACAGTGAGGCCCCAAATATGCTAGGTGCTGTACAGACAAATATGAAAAGATAGTCCCTGCCTCAAGAACTTAAAATTTACTTAGCTCAGTGAGGTTGGTTATTAGGGTTGTAAAATATTTCAAGATTCTTGAATACCAGGTAATATACAAATTTAAAATCTATTATGAGTAGTTGTATCCCTCTATTTCTCTCCATTATTCATTAATATGACATTTCATCTACTTTTTTCTCCTTAGTTATAATCCTCTAGTTTCCTATTATATATTTTACAGTTCTTTCTATGGTGTTCCTTGCTCTTAGCTCCCAAGCTTCAAATGCAATACTGTATTTAATCACTTATATTATTTACTGTGCTTTCATAACTCTTCACGCTGCAAAACTGGGAGAACATGCTTAAGTCGTGGAATCTAGGGAATACAGATACAGAAAGCTATGAATTCAAATCCCATTAATGCATCACACAACTGCTATATTATTCCTTGTGGTGCTCCCCACACACATAAGAAGAGTATGGAACAAGACCCAGTACATAAATCCAGGGCTGCCCAGAGGATTCAGGGGACCTGGGGCAAAGCAATTTCGGGGGCCCCTTCCATTAAAAAAAAGTTGCAATACTATAGAATACTATATTCTCGTGGGTGGCCCTGCGGGACCCGGGGCCTGGGAGACAAATTGCCCCATTTGTCCCCCCTCAGGCGGCCCTGCATAAATCCTAACCCAATAGATAGTCTTACGTAGGCTCACAGAAAGATGACCGTGGGTGGTGAGGGACAGTACAAACCAGGGAATCC